ACTGAGTGACTTCACTTTCACTTTTCACTTTCATGCATTGGAGAAGGAAATGGCAACCCACTCCAGTGTTCTTGCCTGGTGAATCCCAGGGATGGGGGAGCCTGGTGGGCTGCCATCTACGGGGTCGCACAGAGTCGGACAGGACTGAAGCAACTTAGCAACAGCAGCAGCATCTGCCTATCTGAGGTTATTGATATTCCTCCTGGCAATCTTGATTCTAGTTTGTGCTTCATCCCACCCAGCATTTCACATGATACACTCTGCATAGAAGTTAAATAAGCAGGGTGACAATATACAGCTTTGACATACTCCTTTCCCAATTTGGAACCAGTCCATGGTTCCATGTCCGGTTCTAAGTGTTGTTTCTTAACCTGCACACAGATTTCTCAGGAGGCTGGTAAGGTGGTCTGGAATTCCCATCTCTTTAAGAATTTTCCACAGTTTGTTGTGATCTAGTCACAGTCAAAGGCTTTGGCATAATTGATAAAGCAGAAGTAGATGTTTTTCTGGAATTCTCTTGCTTTTCTGTGATCCAACAGATATAGGCAATTTGATCTCTGGTTCCTCTGCCTTTTCTAAATCCAGCTTGAACACCTGGAAGTTCTTGGTTCACCTACTGTTGAAGCCTCGCTTGGAGAATTTTCAGCATTACTTTGCTAGCATGTGAGAGTGCAATTGTGCAGTAGTTTGAACATTCTTTGGCACTGCCTTTCTTTGGGATTGGAATGAAAGCTGACCTTTTCCATTCCTGTGGCCACTGCTGAGTTTTCCAAATTTGCTGCCATATTGAGTGCAGCACTTTAACAGCATCATCTTTTAGGATTTGAAATAGCTCAACTGGAATTCCATCACCTCCACCAGCTAATGGGTATAGGTTTCCTATTGGTGTGATGGAAATGGTCTCGAACTAGACAGGGTGACGTTTGCAACAACAATGAAATATATAAATGCTACTGAATTGGACACTTTAAAAATGGTCAAAATGGTGAGTTTTATATTGTGTGTATTTTAAAACAATTAAAATAATTACTTTACCATGAAGTTTCTTTTTAAAGCATTTGAAAGTTGATGGTAGATATGCTGAACATCATCCGCAGACCAGGAAAGGTAGCTCTGATTCTCTCCCCCATGTAGACCATACACTGAGCAGGTCTGAGATGGCCAGATGTGTGTCCTGATTAGCACTTGTGGCCCTGTCCTGAGCCTCACATGGCCTGCCCTTGGCTCTTAGCAGGCCGGATGCTCACTTACCCTCGATCTGCGGGGCACTGCGGTCATTGATCTGTGTGACTTTTCGGAGGCGAGTCCCTTGCTGGATATCAGCCAACAGTGCACTCCGACCTTTGGGATCTGCCTTTCTCAAGCTGGAAGCATCTGCACTTACCTGTAAGGGAATACGAGGGATTTGATTATAATTACATATAACATTTGCAGGTAAGCCATATGTCCTGTCTGGGGTGAGTTTCCCCTCCCATATTTTTCTGCCCTCCCTGTTTGCTATCCCCTGCATCACTCTCACCAGTGCAGTCATCTACGGGTCACAGGTCTTGCAGGAGGCTTAACTCCTGCCCTGCTCACATCCTGCTCCCTAGGGACCCAGAACAGATTCTTTTGTGAGCTAAAACTCCCATAATATTAAAGAGCCCTAATTCATGGCCCCTTTTCCTCCTCATAGGTGAGCCCCATCCACTTATCTGGGCTTCTGGCTGTGTGTTTCTGACTCTGGCTCTCAGGTTCTGAATAATTGCCCTGCCCGGTGTCCCCAGGTCCCCTCCTGGGGACCAAATTCAGAAAGAAAGAAGTGCAGGAGATGGCAATGAAAGTTTAGCGATTGCGTTCTTCTCCATGTCTGAGTGTGTTACTTTAATTCTCACAAAACCTTGTGAGTTTAAAGTGAGTTTACCCTCATCTTACAGGTGAGAAAGGACTATGAAATCTCTTCCCGGTCACAGGGCTAGGTCCTTACCTAGATCTGCTGAATTCCAAGGGCCACGTGCTTTTTATTTTGAAGCACTACAGAGATCAAGGGCATGGTGCTGTAGTTAGGGCAAGTATTCTCTGGACTATGAAAATGCTTTGTAAAAATGTTCACGAGAATAACCTCTGCCAGTAACACTGAGGTCCAACAGTTTCACTTCCACTATAGCTTGTGCTGATACAGTGGGGTCTCCATGGGCTATCAGAACCAGGGAGCAGCAGAAAGAACATACAGAGGTTGGTGGCAAATAAGGGAGGGTGGGTCACACTAGAAGACATAGCCAGGAGAACTCTCTACAGTTAGAAGGTTTATATTACATGACCTAAGATCTGGTTAAACATTTCTCAAGGTGAGAAATACTTTCTAGCACCTGTTGTATGCGGAATACCATGTCTTTGGTTTTCAGCTTAAACATCACTTTGGAGGTCTTTTCTGGCCCCTAACCTAAATAAGGCTACCCAGGGTTCTTTCTTAGGGTACCATATTCCTTTTATCCCCTGCAAGTTTGCCACAATGTATACATTTATACTTACCATTCCTTGTGGAAAATTTCCAATTGTGGTTATGAACTGCAGATTCACCACCCCGACAAGACACTCTTAGGAAAGAGATCTTGTCCATTTTGTTCACTAATACCTCTCCAGAGAGTAAAACTTGGCCCTAGATAGGCTCAAAAACTGTTTACTGGATGAATGAATGAATGAGTATGAATGAACTAAACCCAGGATGCATAACACACTGGTCTTGCTCTCAAGGGCATAAGCAGGTACCAGGGAGACAGTACACCACGCACAGCATGTGACTGAGTGTCCGAGTTGCACAGAGAGGAAGACTCCAAGAGTTCAGAAAGGATATATTTATCAGGCTCAGCAGGCTTTGAGGAAGACAGGAGACCTTAGATGGTCCTTGAAGGACAGACAGAACTTATACGAGCTCTTGCAATAGCCGTTTTCTCCACATGGCCATTTGCCAAAAAGAACCACCAGAGACTCTCCAGTGTCACAGACTGGAAATGAAGGCAATTGTGGTTTTAGTTAAAAGGTGCTGAGTCCACATTTTCACCAACTGACTCCATGGCCCAGGTGATGCATCTTACACAGGCTTTGAAGGACACAAGCTTCAGTGTCAGTTTCTTGTTGCCTGGAAACATGCTTTTGACCTCTTGAGAAGGACTCACTGATGATGGTCAACAACTGAGCTATGAGCCAGAGGTCCCAATCCTAACGATATACATTTTTTATGAATATATGTACAAATGCACATGTACAGCAGGATATTTCCCACATGAGACGATCTTTAAACTCTTTCTCTATAAACCATTAGCCCATAAGTCATTTTAAACTTCAAAATTTTAAGATTTATAAAGTTTACTCTTGTATTTAGAAACAATTAGTAACAGGAATAAAAGGCAAACAGAAATATCATGACCCTAGCCAAGAGAAGTATGAACATTTTTTTAAAAATCTGGCATTACAGTTGCAGGATTAGGGGGTGAAAGTGTTTTGTAATTTCTTCCTAGTTATGAGATGAATAACACAATGAATTGCATTCTTCTGTTAAAAGAAGCAACTGGAACCATATCTCTAACAATTCCTGAGTGGGGGTGTGGGTGTTCATCTTACCATCTTTAAATGCCATTTTAAAATTGATTACCCAAATGCACCCCCCATTCCTTGACCTCGCCCATCCTAAGCTTTAAAGGTGAGCGCCATGAAGAACATGGTACATCCCTGGAATATGATTTTGGGGGGATTGTACTAGGTCTTAATTGCTTCTCAGGCTTCCCTCTAGTTGCAGAGAGTGGGGGCAACTCTCTAGTTGTGGTGTGCAGGCTTCTCATTGCAGTGGCTTCCCTTGTTAAAGAGCAGGGGCTCTAGGGCTTGTGGGCTTCAGTAGTTGCAACACGTGAGCTCAGTAGTTGCGGCTCCTGGGCTCTAGAGCACAAGCTCAATAGTTGTGGCACAGTTGATCTACGNTGGGGTCGCAAAGACATGACTGAGAGACTGAAAAGGAACTGAACTGTCTGCCTGCCCTGATGATCTTCCACTAGAGGGCGCTCCCTCACCTGGTATTAGTCAAGTTATCCTCAGTCTTTTGTGAGGTAGGAAAGAGCGAGTAACTTCATAGCTAAGGGGACCACAGCTCAATTGGTTTTGTACAAAAGGGCATCTAAGGACATATTCATCTGCACATTGAAGACCATATTTTGCCGTGGTGGGTGTTTCTACTCCACCTTCAATATTTATTAACAGTTCATTTATAATTTGCTTTCTTAAAAATCAAGCCTAAGAGGTCTGGTTACTGTGGTTACTGGATACAGAAATAAAAGTGGTTACTGGATACAGAAATAGGAAAGAGAAGATTTTCATATATTCACTGGGTCTTTTACTCTATGTAAATCCTGCTTATTGGCAACTTCACTAAAAAAAATGAGTGAGAGAGTCACTCCTGAAAACTTCTTCTGTGGCAAATATATCCACCCAACAGGCTTGCCTGCCCCCGCTACGTACAAAACAAGGAACTGAACTATCATTTCAATGTTTGCTCCTGTTCTTTCTTAACATTGTTATTGAGTGTGACAATTTGTGAGTTCCACACAAAGCTTTTGTCGACTCAGTTTTTCTAAAGCAAGCTTCCCATGGAATAGTCCAGGTCCTAAAAAGATGCAAAGTGGTAGAAGAGTAATGCAAATTAGACCATGGCCCTTCCAAATACAGGCTGCAAAACTGAAGTAATCCAGGAAGATTAGAACAGCACTAAGTGGGCCAAGGACAATGAGATGTCTGTCCTCCTGTCTTGATAAATTATAAGAGCTTTTGCATATCATTTGTCATTCCAGCAAATGAGTTGATCAGGGTTCAGTATAGTTTGAGAGAGGAGGATGGAGGTCCAGCCCAAACGGAATGAAATGCATGTTGACCTGCTACTTGTGACCCTGCTGCCCTATGTCATTACTACATCTGTTTGATTGATATCGGTTTCTGTCAGAAACACTAATCAAAATCGAGCAGGTTGTTTGTCTCAAAGATGATCTTAACCCAATCAATGCAGTACGATTCCAGCCTTGCAGTCTTCTAAAGGTGACTTCTCCAATGGGGCTGTTAAACTCAAATTAGCACTCAGCCTTCCAGGTACACAACTTGTTTCTCCCCAGCTCTCAGCCGCCCCCTGCCTTCTCTATGCTTGGGGGCAGACACGGATCAGTAGCCTGCGTACTTGCATTTTTTTTTTTTTTTAACTAAATCTGAATTCCAAGAACAGCCAGAACTGGCATTTGTTTCCTCCTGCTGCTACCATATTTATGTAGAAGAGAGAGCCTGGGATCCAACAGAGACACAGGAAATAATTTCAGAGAAGGTGAACTCTCCCCTGTCAGGCCTGACACAATATTCCCTGCACCCGGAATGTGCACAAGTCAGGCTGTTACATAATGAGGCATTTTGAGATCTAACAGTTTTATTTCTTATTTTCAGAAGTTCAAATACTGTATACAATTAAAAATGGACTTCCTACCCTCCTTTTTAATTAATTAATTTATTTATTTTTCCATTTATTTTTATTAGTTGGAGGCTAATTACTTTACAATATTGTAGTGGTTTTTGCCATACATTGACACGAATAAGCCAAGGATTTACATGTGTTCCCCATCCCGATCCCCCTCCCGCCTCCCTCTCCATCCCATCTCCCTGGCTACCCTCCTTTTTTAAAAGCCTCGTTTCTTAAACAACTGTCTGCAGACCCAGGACTGTTACCTGGAGTACAGAGCTGCTTCCCACAGCATCACATCCTTATTAGGAGGTGCAGCAGAGTTTGGACCCATTCACTGTGGCTATAGGTGATAGGGGAGTCTGGACCTATTCTCTACGTCCCCAAGAAACTCCATTTGTCAGAGTCATCTCATCCAGGGGCATCAATTTGGTCACCATATGCTGGCAGCTATCTCCATGCCCAAGGACCTGAAGGCCGTCTCAGACCCTTCTCTCTTCCTCATTCTCAAAAGCCACTGCATCACAAACTCCTGGTGACTTCTCGGTAATGATTCTAGAAACTGGCTCCTTTTCTCCATCGATGCTGACTTAATGCAGACCACCAGTATTAATGCAGGCACTTCCAGATTCCCTCAGCTGGTCTTCCTGCCTCCTGTCTTGCCTCCTCTTCACAGCCACCTGAATGGTCTGTATAAGGGACATGTTATTTCCCATGTCCATAAAAACTTTTGCTGGCTCCCCACTGCCCTCAGGATCAAGTTCAAATCCCTTCACATTGCACAAGGCCCAACCAAGTGACCAGCCCCAACCTTTCCTTCCATGCTGGAGCTCACCTCTGGACCTTAGCTTGAGCTAATCTCTCTGCTCTTTTCACACTTGCCTCTTGGCTATTTTCCAGGAAGCCTCCTGATCCTGGAAGGCCAGATAAAGAGCTCTGTTTTGTTCCTAGAACAACATGCTTACCCTTAGCAGTGCTCCTGCCAGATCAGGTGACTCTGCTCAAAACCTGCAAGGGTTTTCCATTTCCCTTGGAGTAAAAAAAGTCAAAGTCCTCATTAGTATCAC